TTAAAAAAAAGTATCACGTCAGTACTCAATTGTTTCTGTCGCAAGTGCACTAATACGGCTACAATCACCTCAAGCACTATCAGAGGGAAAACTGTTAAAAACTACTCTCACATTAAGCTGAATTAATGCTTCAGTTGTGTCTAATGTAGACTGGTGTCTTAATACAATCCTGGATACTGGGGAACAAGTCAGCATTCCTCTCACAGGTAAGCACTCAGGAAACCTTTTCCATTCTTGTCACATTGGGTAGAAGGGAGACCCTGCCTAGCCCTTTTAAAGTTTCTGCTTTCAGAAATGTAAAACTTTCAGAATTACAAGGGGCTGATGGTCCCTTATGGCCATTGCCACCAGGTTGTAATGCAATTATTTTATTCAGTACATAGAACTTTGATCAGGTCTCAGCACATTCCCTTTTTCTGTGCACCTGCTCTGTATTTACATTAGAGATCCAAAGCCTAGAAGGATGCCAAGTCACTGCTTGGAGGTAAGAGCAGATTCAGTTGAAGCTGCTGAAATAAAAGTGAAAGCTTTTCTGCTGTAAGCTTTGAGAAATACAGTAAGTACTCCACAGTACTTGTAGCTACAGAGGTCAGTAAGGACTTCCTTTAAAATGTATTTACTGTTTATTAACGATATACACATATTTGAATATCTGTACAGTCCTTCCATAACTAAAACTTCAGTGGTTGGTGGGCTTAATGGTCTGAATTACCAAATGGTTTCTTGTTTCTTTCCAGGAAACCTGCATCACTATTTCCTTCCACTGGAGTAACAAAGTCTTACTCATTCTGAAGCATTTTCAACAATGTGAAGAATCCAAAAGAGAGAGGGGAAGACATCATAATGGCCACTGTGAAAATAATAAGATAGTGACAAAACGATAAAGCACATAAAAAGTCTCTAGGCATATGGTAGCATGATTTTAGTCAAGTAATATTCTGGCAGTAGGCTGGGAAACCTCCAAAGCATTCTTGTAGGAATGCTCTAGAAGGAAATACATTTTCATAGCTGTAACCTTTATAATAGTAATAGAGCCAGCAACAATTGCCCATACTTAAACAAACGGTTGATATGAAAGCACACAAGGTAGTACTCAAGTGACTCGTAACCTCTAGTGCTGTAGGTGATGGGGCAGAATGATATATTGTGCTATCACATATAATTAGGGATGTAATTAAATGTAGGCTGACTGTACCAGACAAGTTACCATTATGGGACAGTCATGAGTGTAAAGACAGATGTAAAGTTTTCACAAAAGGCAAGGATGTAATACATCTTGTTTAACGATGGTGGTGACTTTATTAGCAGATGCCAGCCTAAGCAAAAACATCTGGAATGGAAGCTGTTCCATTTAATTTGTTTCAAAAGTATTTTTCCATAAAGTCTTGTACTATTCCCTCATACTGTGCTTTTGTCACCTTGTAATTGTGAAATATTATTGTGCCATTGGGCATTCCCAGAACATCATGCAGAGTGTGATTACTTAATTCAACAGTTCTCTTATACAACATAGTCAATTATTGGAGATACAGTGTGTGCATTAAGCAAATCTAGAAACGTATTTAGTAATGATAGCATTAAGAATCAATTTAGGATCATTTGCGAACTGGAAAGGAATGTTTATAGCTGCACACATGTACTATTCCATTACTCTTCGCTTTGTCTGACAATGTGTGGGAATGAATCCATGATACAATTGCATGTGCAGGTAAATCTAAAGGAGGTCTGGAGGATGGGAGAAGCTTTAAAGACGTTATGGAGGTGAGCATGAGAAGTGGTGACAAGGGAGCTAGAAAGCAGGGGGAACTTGGGAGGAATAAAGGGAGAACAATTTGGTTGGTATTTTTCAGATGAGGTTGGTGATATAACTGGGGGCATAGTTGTGAATGTTTTTGTAGATTGTTGTAAGGTTTTTATTTTTTTTAATTTGGTAAGTGGAAGCTAATGGAAGGATTGGCAGAGATGTGTACATGACACTAAATTGCTGATAATGGATGAGTGGATGAGTCTGGTAGCAGCATTTACTATGGACTAAAAAGCATATAGCCTATATTAAGTTGGGCCAATGAGGAGGGAGTTGCATTGTCAAGGTGAAAGATAACCAGGGATAAATTATCATTGCATGTGCAGCTCAATGTACAATTTGGGCATAGTGGAGATGAACGAGCTTCCATGAATGACATAATCCTATCATGGCCAATGAAAATGCCCTGAGATCTGTATCCAAAAGCCAACTGTCCAATGGCCTTCAGGGAGCTTTGGGACACTGTGAGTATTGTTCTGTTTTAACTTATGTGTTGTTAGCTTCACTTTGGACCTTTGGCCATTCTACAGCAAAGCAGGGTTGCAACCAAACAGCTATGCTTAGTAATTCTTTTTCATATAAGGCTGATTAGTACATTTTGTAGAGAGACAATTAGCTTCCTAGGACAAAAAAATCTCTTTCATTGCAGTTAGTAGGCAATAGCTTAGTGGTTAGAGTAGAAGTCTTCCATTGTTAATGTTAGAGATTCTGTATATACTGTAGCCCTACAGAACAAACAGTGCACAGTACACATGTGTTTATCTACTGCTTCTCTGTTAAAAGGAACTTTATTATAGAGAAAAAATATAGAGTTTTATCATGGATGCAACTACAAACTGCCATTTAGTGGTTAAAGAATATATCTCTACTGAAAAGTAATACTGAGATGTACTTAAGTAGTTTTTGCACAAAAATACATACAAATACATGAACATTGTATTCAAACAACTACTCTACTATATTAGTCCCATTTCAGATCTCACCCCTAAATCTGTTTCTTGTAAGTAGTTTTATCAAATGCTCTGATCCACATTTGTTTCTCATGGGTTGGAAGTCTTTGCATCTCGTCCCATAAATCTGCTCCTTTTATATAACTGGTGCATTTTATTGTTTGATCACATGGACTAAGTTTTGTTTCACTTGCATAGTCATTCTCAGTCAATTTCTTTATTGTTTCAGGACTTCTATGCCCAAGCCATCTGTGGCATATGTGAATTCAGTTTGAATGTTTTTACCAGTATTAACCACCTCATTGCAATTTAGCTGATACAGTTCATCTAAAATTTTAGCCTTTGCATGTAAGATATCCCCTTTTTATATGGCACATCTGTCATCTTGGAAGGTCACTACATTGACTTGTTTTGTTAACTTCTTCATTAACTACCTGCCGACCGCAGATAGCCGAATGACGGCTGCACTGCGGCCGGCCAGTTCTGAGCGCCCCAGGGGGCGCGCACCCGGCGATCTCCGTGATCGCTGTGTCCTACGGACACAGCTGATCACGTGATGTGGTAAAAGGCCAATCACAGCGGCCTTTTACCACGTGATCAGCTGTGTCCAATGACACGCTGATCAGAGGGAAATGCAAGTGCCGGTTCCCGGCTGCACTTTCCTCACGCTGTCAGATCGTGAGGAAAGTACTGCCGAGAACCGGCAGTTGTCAGAGCGGGGATCGGCACCGATCATCAGGGCACTGATGATCAGTGCCCTGATGATCGGTGCCCAGCAGTGCCACCCGCAAGTTCCGCCCACCTGTGCCCAGCAGTGCACCCACCTGTGCCCAGCAGTGCACCCACCTGTGCCACTCTGCAGTGTCACACACCTGTGCCCAGAAGTGCCACCTACCTGTGCCCAGCAGTGCCACCCAACTGTGCCCACCCACCTGTGCCCACTAGTGCCACCCACCTGTGCCCACCCACCAGTGCTGCCCAGCAGTGCTGCCAGTCAGTGCCACCAGTCAGTGCCCAGGGGTTGTGCTAGTCAGTGCCGCCAGTCAGTGCCCAGCAGTGATGCCAGTCAGTGCCGTCTATCAGTACCCATCATCAGTGTCACCTATCAGTGCCGCCTATCAGTGCTGCATATTAGTGCCGCCTATCCGTGACACCTCATTAGTGCTGTCTATCAGTGCCGCCTATCCGTGCCACCTCATTAGTACTGCCTATCAGTGCCCTTTAGTGCTGCCTATCAGTGCCCATCAGTGCCGCCTATCAGTGCCCATCAGTGCTGCCTCATCAATGCACATCAGTGAAGGAGAAAAAATACCTGTTTGAAAAATTTTATAATAGAAACAAAGAAACTTTTTTTTTTTTTTTTTTCAAATTTTTTGCACTTTTTTTATTTATAGCGCAAAAAGTAAAGCGCCCAGTGGTGATTAAATACCACCAAAAGAAAGCTCTATTTGTGAGAAAAAAATGATCAAAATTTCATATGGGTACAATGTTGCATGACCCGCGCAATTGTCAATCAAAGTGCGGCAGCGCTGAAAGCTGAAAATTGGCCTGGTAAATAAGGGGGTATAAGTGCCTGGTAGGCAAGTGGTTAACAAATGTTAATTTTAAGAGCAGGGGCATACAGAACATTTTTCACAGGTATCTTTCTGGTGGCTCTTTGGGAAATATGACAGTAAGATAACAGTCTCCTATTCCTTCTGATTCCATTATTTGACCATTAGCTGTGGTGATTTTTTTCTGTTTTACTCTGGTCAAGAAGAATAAAGAAAGTTCTGTCATTTGTCATGTGACTCGTAGCTCTTGAATCAACACACCATACCTGACAAGATGAGGTGCAACTTTTGGATTGAGAAACAAATTTATTATCTGAAAAAAAATCAGTTTGTTCTTTCACATTTTGGACTTTTGTAGTTTAGATTGTTTTTACATTCTAGCTTTGCAGATTCTGAAATCTGGTTCAAATGACCTTGTCTTTAAGGAGACTCTGTGATAGAAACACCATCAATAGTGATGTTTTCCATTTTAAGCTTCAATTCATCCACAAGATTTCCCTTAATATATTTCATTGTCAGTACATCATCTGGATGAGCAACAGGTGCTATGACAAGCGTTTCATACACTTATGGTAAAACACTAAGTAATAGTGCTGCGATATGAAAGACTTTTATGTCTTCTCCTATACCTCTCAGGTATTCAACCATTTTCATAGTGTACTACGTAGTGTATTGCTGAGATTAGCTCTGTAGCCTCCCTGGCGGTATTCCCGAGTGTAGTTCGGGGTAAAGTTTCAGTACCACAAGCGGTAACCCCGAGCTACACTCGGGCTTACCATGCAGTGCTGCTCCGGGATCTGTTCTTCACTTACCTTGTCCTGCGCTCCCGCGATGTCCCTACTGCAGTGTCCCCGGCAATGTCCTCCGCATCTGTCATCTGGGTTCCGTCCCCTGCGAGCGTCGGGACGTACAGGGGACAGAACTGGCGGGAAATTTGAAAATGACAAAAAGTGACATTCACTAAATACACTAAAATCACATAGTAAAACATTACTGTATCAAACAATTTCACATACATTTTGTCCCTAGTGCTTTGTCCTGTGCCCTGCCTGCATTTTTACTGTTCTTTCTGCCTGGAAACTGAGAAATGTCCATGGTGTCCAAAAAGCGTCCCTTTACGTCAAAAGTGGTTTTAGACCAGCTAGAGAACAGCGATAGTAAATTAGAACCACTTGCAGAATTGAGTGATAATGATTCGTGGGGAAATTCGTCATCAGACACTGAAAACGATTTTGTGACTTTGCTCAATGATGTGCGAACTTGGCGCTATATTTCAAATTTCAGTGTTTTTGGTTTGATTATATTATTGAATTAAATGTATTATTATATTATTATTTTTTATGATTATCTATTAAATTATAATTTATGATTTCATGTTTCAAATTGTAACATACCCAGGATGTTTACTAGACTCTTGTTCGGACAGATTTCAGTGAGTTATTCCTAAAAATAATAGGCCTACAATAAAAAAAAAATACCTATTTTCATGCAAAAAAATGTACCGCTGTAAGCAGTATCAAGATGCTTTTTTGGGATCATAAAAACCATTCATGCTTACCCCAACCAGATTGGAAGCCACAATGACCACCAGTACATACTGTATAGTCCTTGTGCAAAGGTACATGCCACTATTGTGTGACAAGTTCGTGTAGCTACTCTCTGTCCACAACCCGAGTGTGAACAGTCATGTGAACACAATTTTGAGAAAGAAAATGTATTTAGAGGACATGAAAAAAATTAAGAAAAAAGTAAGAATGGTCAGGGACATGTAGCAATTTGTATGCTGGAATTTAATATAAAATGATAGCATTGTTTAGGAAACAATGCCCAAGCTGACTAAAATATAGATATTGGCTTCAATTATTTTAATAAAGATCTGGACCACTTTACAGCTCTGAGCCCTGACCCATTTATAAAATAAAGCCTCACGGCTTGGGAGAAAACTGGCTTATTGGTTGCACCTCCATTTTGCAGTACTATGGTGTTGGTTTAATTTTACATCAGTGCACTACTTGTGTCAAGCTTTCCTCATGTTTGTATGACTGAGATTGGGGCAATAAATTTGAAGAACCTTCATGAACACAAATAATGTGAGAATTGAAACATTCTCTGTTGGCTCTGTATACATGAAGAAAATAAACACATTTCTGATGTTTATACTGCACCATACTAGACTTGTGGCATTGTGTCAACAGCTCTTTTTATTGGACAATTTGTAATTCATTTGTGGTAACTCTTTGGCTTTTTCCAAGATAGTGGGAATCTGAGATTAGCATAAAATAGGAAAGAACCAAAACTGGTATACTCTATAACTACTATATCAATGCTGCCTATTAATGTTTGGTTTGTTTTTCTCCACACTATTAATCAATGTTAAGCGGTATGCACCCTTGAATGTATACAAGTTTGCCTAGAGCAAACACCGCTTATGTGTGTAATCAAATACAAAAGATGGCTTTATTTAAATGTGCTTAGAAAGTTGGCATCAATTTCATATCAAACATATCTACTTTCAACTTAAGTTTTGTCAACTAACTACATTGAAAATAATTTTGCAATATATTGCAATTGTATCAAATATTGTTTATGTAAGCTTGAAAGCTAGTTAGTAGCAGTTATAATTTTGACTTCAACATAGGAATAGGAGGTGCTGTAACAATGCCACTGTGCCTGGTTGGAGATAATATATGCAGAGGCTTTAGGCTATGGTTGGGATACTCTATGGCAGGGGCATTTCTGGAATTGTAAAAGACCTAGGGCACCTATGAGCATCCAGAAAAGAGGAACGAGGACCATGCCAAATGGTGGGTATGGCGTTAAGGGGCGTGGTTAAATAAAGCTTGAGCCTGTTCCCTGCATACACAGCACACATAAGTCACATTTTTTTTTCCCACAAAAAAAGCTTTAATCACTTTGCCACAAGTGAGAGTCTGACAGACACATACAAACCACAGCAAACTGTTTTTTTTTTTTGTTTTTTTTTTATAAAACTCTTCCACTACATACTGTATGCTTTTCCGCACACAGCCTACCTTAAATAAGAACTTAAGGAGTATAAAATGTACTTAGAGTGCTGTGGTCAGGAGTATGTCATGTAAAGTCCTGTGTACAGGGTGCAGTGATCAGGAGTAAGAAAGGTACAACATAATGTCTTTTGTGCAGGGTCAAGAATATGTAACAAACTGGGCGCAGGTGTCAAAGGCACATAAGGCACAAAGTGCAGGGCTCAGGTGTGCGTATAGCACAGAGTGCCAGGGTCAGACTTGCATAGCACACATAGTTAAGGGGCCAGGAGTGTGTATCACAGAAAGTGCAGGGCTCATTAGTGTGTAATGTACAGATCGCAGGGGTTAAGAGTGCACATTGCACAGAGTGCATGGGTCAGAAGTGCATAACACACAGATTGCAGGGGTCAGGAATGCATAATGCCCAAAGTGTCAGTGAAGAGCTCAGGAATAGGTAACACACAGAATTCAGGGCTAAGGAGTCAGCAGAGTACAGAGTACAGGGGTCAGAATTGTATATTGCAGAGAGCATATTAGAATAAATAGAAATGGAATCCCAGTCACAACCTACTTATTTCCAACCCAGTACCATCCCAGAGCATTTAAATGAATACAGATAAATGTACCAATCAAAATTAATAAGACTTTAAATGTACCCAAGAAGAATATAGTAATCGAAAATTGCAAGATCACATATTCATTCTTAGAAAAACTTTTTTTTAATTTATTATTAAGTAAAATGATCACCAATTCCATAAAATAAACATCAAATACAGAAAATCTTTAAATATGACATTATATAGTTTAGAGTCTAATTCCAAAGTGTTATTTGTTTCAACATTCATTTTCTCTACACATTTCATGGTCCACCACTGCCTAATGCATAAACATAAAGGTTGATACATCTGAAATAAACATATGATAAAATGTAGGTTTATTTACTAAAACTGTTGCAAAATCTGGTGCAGCTCTGCTTAGAAACCAATCTACTTCCATGTTTTTTGTTTTTTTTTAGGCTTAAATAAGCTGAAGTTAGAAGCTGTTTGGTTTACCATGTACAGCTGTACCAGATTTTGCACTCTCCAATTTTAGTAAATCAACCCCACAGTATCTAGTTTATCATACAAACTGCAAATGTCACTTAGGGAAGCCATAGATGATGGATCATGGACAGGTTACAATAAAGAAAATCGCTTGATTTCCCCATCAAAACAGTTAGTGTTGATGGGGGATTCCCTCCCGCAGCAATATTGTGTTCTGCCAACGTGGATCCTTCCCTGCTGGCAGAACACAAAAATCACTGCTAGTGGCTACAGCCACAGGAAGTAATCACATGCAAAAAATCCAATAGGCTGGTTGTACAACCAGCATGCCCATAAATGGATCAAATTCATCTATTATTTGACTTTACTTAAAGACAGGCAGATATCGCTTCTAATCAAATCTGTCCCAAATAGCCATTAAACGATCCCAGGAAAAACAGAAAAAGATATAAAAAAGAAGAAGAGACAGAACCCATTTACAGTCATGAACAGCCTTACAGTGCCTGGTATCTATCTATATATATATATATATATATATATATATATATATATATAGTATATAGATAATAAAAAGCTGGTAAATATGACATAGTAAGAGCAAAATAAGTATCCCCTGATGGTATTATGTAAAACGCCGAAAATTGCCTACTCTCAAAAAATTCCAAACAAGCCAAAGGAGGTGGCATTGTAGATCCTGAAAACTGGGTAGGAATGTCTGAGTAGTAGTGTCAGTGTTACAACCTAATGGATTACTGATAAGGAAAAAAACCTTGCAACTTGCAAGGTAGGAAGCTCTTAAGCAAATATATCAATATTCATGATTGGATGCGATCTGATCATATAAGCAGGCTGCAAAAGAACCCAGGCAGGCCAGGAGATATCTAGAAAAGTAACGGTGGTGTGAATACTGTGCTGTAACTGACCCAGACTCACTATGCCTGAATATACATAAGGCTCCTCATGACCACAGTTCAGCAATAAACCCAAACCCAGAAGCTGCACATACTGTATGCAACACAGTGAAACACAACTGCACAGAGTACAGAAATCAGGAGTGGGCATTGCAAAGAGTGCTGATCTCAGGAATGCATATTGAACAGAGTACAGAGGCCAGGAGTGTGTAACACACGAGATGTAGGGGGTCAGGACTGGAGTGCATAATGCATATAGTGAAGGGCTCAGGAGTGCATAATGATCAGTGTTAGGGGCTCAGGAGTAAGTAGGACAGAGTGTGCAGGACTCTGAGCACACAGAGCAGAGGGGTCAAGAATGGGTGTCACAGAGAGTGCTGGGCTCAGGAGTGCATATCACACATAGTACAGAGGCCAGGAGTGTTTAACACACAAAATGCAGTGGTCAGAAGTACATGATGCACACAGGACATATGACAGGATTGCATAATGCTTCAGAGTGCAGGGGTTGGGAATGTACACTGCACAAGGTGCCAGCATAAGGAGTGCATAACCCAGAGAGTGCACTCTATACATTAAGCACTCCCCAGCCCTGCATTCTGTGTATTACACATGTCTGACTTTGGCACTCTCTGTGTAATGCCTTCAGAGTGCAGGGGTAAGGAGAACGTAATATACAGAGTCCTGGGACCAGGAGTGGTTATCACACATTAAACATTCATGAACAATGCACTCTGTGTGTTAAAAACACTCCTACCCCTTACATTCTGTATGATACTCACATAGTGCAGAGCTTAGGATTGAAGGGCTCAGCAGTGGGTACTGCAGAATGTACACAGGTCGGGATGTATGTAACACGCAAGCCAGTGCAAAGAGTTCAATAAAAAATGACCCCTTCCTTCTAGTACAAATCTCCCTGTGCCCATATCCCCCAGAGTACAGATACATGGGGCCAGTAGCCCCACCCCTCAAAACAAGCCTATCTCAGCCCCCCAATCAATGCTAATTCTTACT